TACTCAACTGAGCCTCGTGTACATTTGTAAACCATCATTTCGCCTGTCCATCGATCATCACTTAGGCATGGAGACAAGCAACCTCCTTCCCATTGTCCATATTATTTCTGGAATGCGTGTGCAAGAGTAACAAGAGATGTGATGGTCTATCAGTATGTGGAAAACCGGCAATTCACACCTCTGGTTATCAAGAGCATTAATTAAACCTATCCCTACAATTTCCCAGGTGGATCAAATGGTGCAATATAATACGGGTATTTGTCATTATCTCCCTGATAGCGATCAGGGAGCGACAAGCGAAGGCGTGGTCATTGTGCTACGAGTAATTCAGCATCGCATTACGGCTTCCAGGTAGCCAATCAAAAAACGGACTTCCCGACCAATCCCGTGTTCGCAGGTGGTATCAATCGGATTGGCTGCGTACAGGAAGGCCACCAAATGAGCCATATCGTTGTTGACTGTACCTTGAAGAATTGATCAATGATTGTTGGATGCTTGTGATATTAATTTACATTATTTTCCTAATAGAATTAACTGTATCCGCGGCACGTCTTGGTTTTTTCTACATGACTTTGTGCTGCAATTCAGTGGGTTTTCACTCTCCGCATCCGAGTTCGCGCTATTCGATTCCTATTTCTATTCTAAATACTACATGTGACTATAACGAATGATAGTTTGATATCTGCACAGAACTGATTTGCAACCTGATCACCCACACATCAGGAATGTGCTCCTCCTCGTTCATGAAGTAATACCAGATAGCTGGTTCCGTGGGAAGAATGAACAAATTTTGACCGACCATGAATGGTTTCAAGTATAAACAGGTATTGATTGAATGATCAAGGTCATTCTTGGGATAGAGAGATGGACCTTTCACTTTCAGGATATAACTCAGATCAGATCACTTCAGCATTATTTATTTATTTCAACACGTAACCAATTACAGATAACTGACAAATGTACCACAACATATGAACCAAAAGAAATCTGAAGTATGTGTTCATAGGGTTGTGTGGGCATGTTACTTCCTGGTTGCCCTGGCCGAGGAAGGGAGATAACCTCGGGGTCCCTACCCGAAGCCTTTGGCTAGAAAGCCAGACCTGCAAGACAACAGAACGGAACTTAGAGTCCGCAGTCCATTGGGAGCCGGTGTTCACTTCATTGGATCAAACGCCCTTTAGACGGGGTCAAATGTTGGAGAAGCCCAATACATCTTGATGCCCAATTGAGCCGGTGACCACTGCCGCGACCAGGAAAGTGTGTGTGGTTCCTAAACCTCTTCTTGGTTTGTTTGGAATCAGGGTTTTAGCCAAATCCCTTAGGTGACCTGCCAATCGTTCATCAATCCGGTTACAGCCCTGAATGTCGGCTTTTCGTCCTTTCACTTTGCTGGGAAAACACCTCCGCCACGAGAAGACAGTGAGAGTAGGGCTTCCTCAGTAGAGGCTATTTGAGAAGCTTGGTCACAAGGAAGGATTTCGCGAGGTGTAGCGGAATAGGGACCAGTCACAATCCCAGACACCCACCCTGACTATACTGAGACTTTCAGCATCAAAACATCCAATTTCAAGACGTGCCTTACCAGTGTCCGTGCATATTATATTGATCCATCCGGACACACCTTTCCGGGACTCAAAGTTGTATTTGGTAAGCCTTTGAATTTATTGAGCCCTGTTATGCACCCGTTTGTAGTCGCTCCAGGATTGTTCTGGGCCACGGAGTTTAAAGCGGTACCAGTATCGTGGGTGAATTTTCACTTCCCTCTCTATCCGGGGTTTCCACTATATTGGTCTGTGCCTCTTGTGCACTTACCTTAATGATGCGAACCTATCCGTGAGTCTTCGTAACTCGGCCTTAACGATGTTTCACATAAATTGCGCGATACACTCTGGATACATTGTGTACCAGCGGATGCTGTTTGAACTTCGTA